GTCCGTTCGGAGAGCACCTCCGATCTCCCTATCGTCTAGAGAAGCTCTTCTACATCCGTAATGATCCTGCGAGAGACTCGAACAGCCCGGGTTGCCCAAAACTTCCCAGTATTCAACGAACTAGAACACAACAGTGAGGGCATGAGGAGAACCAACGTTGGGTTGATTTTCAATGATCCAATGACGCATTTTTCACCCTTGTTTCAACCTGTGTGCGGAGACACCGATCTGGTAATGATCGTGAAGGCCGACGCTTGCTACAGCCCCTACAAGTTCAACCACCAGATGAGGGTCGTCGATGAGGTCAGTCCGCAGGGTCTCGGACTGAACCATTTTCCAGTTCACCCATACTTGCAGCTCATCGCGGTATAACCCGAGAGTGAGGATATCCCCGACTTTGAGATTTCGCGCCCACTGTTCAACGATCACACCAGCGGCAGGTCGCAGAATACCATGCGCAAACACTCCAGAGCAATCGTAACCGAGCATGACCGAAGATGGCAGTTCCGAGGCCGCATTACAGTCGGCAACTCCAATAGGGTTAGAGCAAATGCCGATACCGAGCCCGACAGAGCTCACATCAGGCGAGATACCCAATCGAAGTGATTTTATGGCGCATTGCCAGACCTTTGAACCATCTTGCAGTCTATATGGATCGATAGCCGCAACAGCCCAGGAATCCTCGCCATCGCCTTCACTATCAACCGAGCTCACAGTATGACCAAGAATAGTGATAAAGCTTCCGACTGGGCTGCTGAGCCATGAGGAATGACAATCCTCGTTAGTATTCTCCAGCAAAGGCGAAGACAAGGCCGAAAACTGCAGGACGGGTTCCTCTAGCTCGTGGAGGCCGCTACTCGACAGATCAGTTGTGTACACTGGAAGTGGTAGCCTGTTCTGTCGGGGCACTTCTGCCTCCCGAAGCTCTCGCCAAATTTTGTGGGGTTGGGTCAGAGCGGCTGTCCGCATGTCTGAATCAGTGCCTCCTGCGTCGAGGCCTCGAACATCTCGGGCTCTCTCGCTTCTAGTTGGGCTCCCACCACCCCGCTGCAACGTCGCCCCTGTGCTCGACACATCGCTATCTTTAGAGGGGTTTGTTTGGATAGCCTCTGCAGCAGGAATAGCCATAACTCTGTTCGCTGAGTGGCTCGATGAGAAGTCCATACCATCCCGGGGCAAAGGACGGTCCAAGGGACGAACGGAAGATAATACATTGGATGAAACGACCATTAGCGTGGGTCCGGCCCTAGCCAACGGCGATGCCGCACGAGCACCACAGTCCAATGAGCCGTCTTCAACGGGCTGTGCTCTCGACCCGATGGCCTCGCTTCCCATAACTGATACGCATGGCTCTTCAGCACCAGAGTAAAGGTACCCACTGGTGACGGACTCATGACTTAATATCGAGTCTTGCACGGCGGCATCACTCGCTTCAACCACTGTGATGTTCTCCCCTTGTCTCCTCGACCGCAGCAGGTTTTCAATGCTCAGTTTGCTGGATCTGCGCGAGCTCGATTCAGTGCGCCTAGAAGGGTCCTTGAGGAACATATCGACTATTTGGGATTTCCGGACCCCACTAACAACCGAAGTCGATCGCGTTCGTCTGGGATACTCGCATTTCGCATCACTCTTTGAAGTAGTGAATACTACAGCTGGCGCATCACTCGACTTGATGGAGGTCAGTTCGCCCTGGACAGTATCATCACTAGTTCGCTCGATCAATGTTTCCCCTCTGTCGGAACTCCAAGCCTCCGACCCATAGGGAGTACTCGAGCATTCAAGAGTATAGTTCTTGATACCGTGGCCCGCAGAATGCTCAGCGGAATCAACCAAAGTTGGGTCCGATTCACGAGAGTGATGAAGCTCAACGTCAGTCGGGGGGCTCGACCGAGAAGGGCAAGCACGGCTGTGGCGCGCAGCGTCTCTCTTCAACTCCCCGTACGATTTCCTCCGCTTCGGAATCTCTTGCTCGTCAGTCAAGCTTAGATCGCTATTGTTGGATATATCGGGCCGTACTGCATCTGGGGAGCGAACAGCGCTGCTAGACAGGATCGGCCCATCTCGAGGTGGTGGGAACCTGGGAGCTTCCGCCTTCGAGATAACAGGAGGATCGTCTAGCTCGCGTGAGAGCGAGAGAGTGGAAAAGTTGAGACCATCCAATTCGCTGTATATCTTGCCAATCAGACTGCCCCGATCAACTTGTGGAGAACTTATCGTCCGAGTAGGAAGGCCAGGGGATTCAATCGCGGCCGACACCGACTCATCGAGCCCGCTTTCGAGCCACGAGTCCATATGTGGTATGGCACTTGCCCGGTCCACATAACTGGCTCCCGGTTGGTGTTCGCTTGTGACCTGTTTGCTAAGAGCACGCGGCACCCGGGTTCCGGTGGCCATACCGAGGCACTCATCTTGAGGTAACATCGGAGTGAAGCCGTCGAGGTTCGCTCCGCTTGGAGAATGCTTCACACTGCCGGTGTCCCGCGCTGTCTTCTCATGGCGTGTGTTGCCCTCGTCTAGGAGGAAACCCATTGAACTTCTACCCCACGCTTCCAGCTCAGCCGTGAGATCATCTGCGAGACTTGGCCTCCCGAGCTCTTGTGCATCAAACAGGCCAGTAGCCGATGTGACCCTATTGTGCGTTCGCGAGGGGCGCGGTTGCCTTTGTATGCCCACGTGCAGCTTTTCGCGTCTCCTCGGCGTTAGCTCGCGACTCGAAGGAGTCGGTGATCTCGAGGAACAACGTGCGACAGAAACTGGGCGTCTTCGGCTTTTCGGTGTCGATGCTCGAGTATTTACACTCTTGCCAGTGTAAAGTCTGGAACCGGCGAGGAGATCTCCCGAGGCAGACCCCTTCGGATCGTGTCGCGCCGACTTCTCCTCAATAGAAACTCGCAGAAGTCTGACCACCTGAGAAGTCTCAAGCTCGCCATATTTCTTTACGACGAGTAGTACGACGTGGTCGCCGTGAGAATTGTAGGACGGCCTGACAAGGTAAAAGCTGCCCCTCTCGAGGAGTTTCAATAGTGGTACCGAGTGACCATCAAGGCCCCGGGGGGTAGTCCGGTGGAGCGAAGCAATTCGGCGCGTACGGCTTCCCTGATCCTGATAGATTGCATAGCTCCCGCTCCTTCCCAATTGGGATAGATTGAACTCACTCATATGGATCCCAAGAGCTGCCAGGGTCGGATGACAGGATAAGCTGGAGCGCCACTGGGTTGCCGACAGAGGTGGTCCGGAGCGTTTCCATTGGAGGACGGAGACTCGAGCTAGCCAGGAGACCTCGTTCGAGAGGCCCGGAGGTGTGCAGTCGAGGGCCCCTGCTATTCACAACAGCCACAATGCGTTCGAGTGCATCCACGGCAGATAGTTTCGGAACATCTCCAATCGAGAGAATCACTGCAGGGCCACCATCAGCATCCCAGTGAAACCTGGGAAGAGCGTGTTATCCGCCGCAGGGCACAGGCTGAACTCATCAGCCTGACGGTTTACCCTGAAACCTGTAGCGACCCCGCTGGCAGACGGGCTGCAGCGCTCAGAGTAGTTTGTACAAGTTCCTCAAAACTGATATAACACCAAGGAAAATGGGGGGGGGGTCTTTTCGTCTCGTACCGCGCTGGGGGTGAGTTTGTGTTGATAGAGTGATTCAGTACAAGCTCTAATCTGACTACCGACTGTGGGGTCGTGTACAGAGGACTCGGGAGAGAACGTCTCTCAGCTGCCGATACTTTGCTAGGCACTTGACTGAGACAAAGAAGTAAACGGTGCTCCTTGTGTGCGTTTGAATCTAT